GGGGTAGGGTGGGCATGGCTGGGCCATGAGGAGGACAAGGCAGGAACAAGGATGTTAAGGAGAGGCAGCAGGAGGCCATGGAAAGGCAATGGCTATGAAAGGGAAGGCAAAGGGAAGCAACAGGAGGTGAAGGCAATGGAAAGGCAATAGGAGGCAATGGGGAGGGAACGGGACAGGAGAAAGCAAAGGGATGGTGAGGGAAGGGTGCGGGTAGGGCAAGTCGAAGGCAAGGAGAGGGCAAGAGGAGAAAGAGCAAAGGAAAGGGCAAGTGAAGGTAATGAAAGACAGCGGGAAAGCAGTGGGATGCAGTGGGAAGGTGATGGGAGGCAGTGGCAGGCAGTGCAAAGGCAGGGGGAGGGAGCGGGGAGCACTGGGAAGCTGTGGGATGCAATGGAATGGCAAAGGCAAGGGAGGTGTCAGTGCTAGATGGGAAAGGAGGGGGAAGACAGGGCAGACAGACCCATCCACAAGCAGTGTGTCTGGGCATGCCTCTATTCATTCCCCAGCTCACCCGCCACGGTGGCCACCAGCAGCAGCAGACAAGTTGCCATCAGCCCCACAGGGATGCACCACCATCGGGTCCAGTGCCCTGCAAGACACAACCCACCACGGACATCATCCAGTGAGCCAGGAATCCCCTGGCAGCCCCCAGACCTCCCGCCTACAGGCAACGTGGTGGCACAGGTGGCACCTTGTGGGCACTTCCTCTCTTCAATGATGTGAGTGTGAGCACCCCAAAACACCCTCCACTACCCATGGCAGGACCTCTCCGGGTCCCCCAGGCTGCAGCTGGACACTCACCTGGGCTGGGCTGGGCCCCGTCCCCATCCTCTCCCGCCAGTTCTGGCTGTGTGTTCTCGTAGGGGCTCTCTGCCTCATCCATGCCAAGGGCTGTTGGAGGGAGACAGGGGAGAGCAGCTGAGTCCATGGGGCTGGGCATGGTGGGGGCAGTTTGGAGGGTCCTGTGGGCTCTCACCTGCCTCCAGTGCCTGGTTGGCCATGCTCCGGCCCCCCATCACCTTGGCAAACCTCAGGTCAGCATAAACCAAGCTCTGGGCCATGTGGGCAAGCGCTGGGCAAGCCCTCAGCCCCTGCTGGCTCCAACCTTGCTCTTGGGATGCCTTTCTGGGATGGTCCCGCTCCGGGTGCTTGCACCGTCACACAGGGGTGCAAAGGAGAAGTGTGGCCAGTGTCTGCAGAAGCAGAAGTTTGCTCTGAGCTGTAGCAGATGGGACCAGCGAGGCACGGCTGCAGAGACCAGCACCCTCTCATTGGTCCCAGCACCCTCTCATTGGTCCCAGCACCCTCTCATTGGTCCCAGCACCACCGGTCTGCCCCCTCCCACGCCCCGAAAGTGCTCTCGGTCGCCCCGGGCACGCAGCATGGTCTGAGGTCAGGGCATTGGCAGAGCGAGGAGGGACCCAAATCCCCCAGCTGAGGGGAGGGCAGGGCCAGGCTGGACACAGGAACTCCTTGCCCCAGGGGACAGCCCTGGGAGGACTGGAGATCTTCATGGACGCAGATTTCCCCTCCCAGTCTCTGGGAAGGGGAATTTCCCCATGATGTAGCTTGTGCCACTACCTCATCCTATTCCTTGTCTCCTCCTAGAAGACCCCAGCATCAACATTGCTCTAACCCCTTACCAGAGATTTGCATAGAGCAATGACACACACTTTGCCTTCCCTTCCCCAAACCACAGCCCCAGCACTTGCATCACCTCCTCAGCCCCAGCTTCCAGCATCTCAGATCTCTATTGAACTACCTTCAGAGAAAGACAGGATTCAGAAAGGGTGCTGAGGTGCAGACCAGCTGGGCACGCCTGGACACAGCCAGTTCCTGGGACAGGACTGGAGGTGTTCAGGGGTGCTGGTGGAGCACATCATTGCAGGCCACAGTCCATCATCTCTGCAAGAGCTGGGGAAGCCCTTCTGCACTGGACAAAGGCAAAAATCACAGCCAGCTTCAAAGGGGACAGGAAGGAATTTTGGAAAGTTAAAAGTTCAGCAGTTGCCACTCAATCCACAGGACCAAGCTAGAGCACATTCTCCTGGGCACACAGTGCTTTGGAAAGGACCTGGTGGTGGGTAGGGGGAGCACAGTGGGATTTACCAAGGGCAAGTAGCACCTGACCAACCTGTACTGGGCTAGGGACAAGGGGAGAGTAATGGGGGCTGTTTATCATGACACTTCAAGGGCTGGGACACAGTCCCCTGTGGTCCTCTTGCTGGCAGAGCAGGGAGAAGTGGCTGAGAGAAGGAGAGAAGAGCAAAAGCTCATGCTGCACTGTGAAAAATCCTTTTAGGCATTAGGACAAACGTTAGACATTAAGACAAGCACAGCAGTGATGCTCAAAGCCCAGAGCACAGCATGGAGAGGGGGACATACAACATAGACAGGGCCAGCCCTAGAGACACCTGCTCCCCTGTGGAAATCGTGCTTGCTTTTCTGGGACCCAGGGATTTTGGTCAACCTCTTGCAGGCTAAGCCCTGCAGCTCTACCCAGCACCCCAGCCTACTGTCATCCCAGGGGACCCCGAGCAGCTTCAGGGAGTGGAAGAAGACAGGAGGGTGACACGAGAGCCAGTGGCTGGATATCAGTCCTCGTGGCTGTGACTTCCTGCTGCCATCTGATGCACTTCATAAAAGAGTTCTGCTTCTGCAGAAAGCAGTCACACTTCTCCTTTGCAGTCCCAAGAGAAGGAGCGAACGTGGTGCAGCAGGAGGCAACAGAGCCATCAGGGTGACATGGCCCAGAGCTTGGTCTACGCTGACCTGAAGTTCGCTGCAGCCCCCGCCTGCCCTGCAGCCCCCGAGGAAGACGACAGCCCCTACGAGAACGTGACACTTGGGCACCCGCTGCCCGCAGC